TAGCAACCTTGTGTTTGTTTATCAGAAACAAAAACTGATTGATCAGTGACGTGTTTAGCCGCTCTTGGGAATTGTTACAACATTAGAGATTCTATGGTGCATCACACTGAGGGCTCTGCAACTAAACATAACCTAATTATCGAGTACTCTTTTTCTAACACAGCTTCTCAGATGTACTAACTTCTTTGAATACCATGAGAAATGGTACCAATTCAATATTTTTTTGAGGTTTTTTGTTCCTTATGTAATCTATTGAGGAACGTAAAGGACGGTGCACAGAACGAACTGCTCGAAACCACAATCGTTTATCGTAAAACCATCTTTAGGTTCCAAACCTCTAAAACCGCTTTTGCTTCATTGTATCTGGATAGCGTTCCGTTTCCATCTTGTGAGGTTTTCATGCGTGAGGGATGCGCCATGCATTCAATTTCATTAAGCATCGTTTGCAAGTGATTGAATGCATATCTGGTCTCTTACAATGACTCGCGATAGCCTACCGATGCGTTGAGCTAGTGCTAGTATCCTCCCAGACAAATCTGGTACCAATTTGCCGATCCCGGAGGTATGGAAGGCTTGGTGGACTATGGGCGTGGAGATCGATTCCACGTGTGTGTTGCAGGACGCCTCCGACCACTGCGTCACACGCGCCACATCTTTCTTATTCGAACAATGTAATGATAATCTGTTTGAAATTTAAGGGTACTTGTGATGTAAACTAAACTTCCCCTAATAATTTCTTGCATTCACGAATATTCTCTGGATTTTCTTGGACTTTCTAGCTTTTTTGAAACCACTTCTTGTTAGTAAACGTTGGCTAAGTTCATCTGTATTTCAACATTTGAAGAAGTACTTTTTTCAGAATAGAACAATTACATTTATAATTGAAATTATTTATTTTTGTGTTTCTTTATGCTATTTACTTATGTTTCTCATATCGCACTCCACTTGCTCCTATTCGCTGACTCGGAAAATCTACAATTGCAGTACAAGTACAGTTATCACTGCGTATCTTTACGGTTCCCACAAGCTGGCGTAAGCAGTCTTCTTTCATCTTTGCCGCTTTCCAGTGTTTCCTGATCGATTCTGGCCACTTAAAGGAAGTGAGGAACATCATATTTCTCGTCTAGGATTTTCCTAAGAAATTGTCACCGTCTTACCACCTCGATGGCGATCTTGTATGACCCACTTTTCTTTGACACTCCGGCCCTTCTGCCCGGGTATCTAATCTTTACTCGTCAACGGAAGTCGAAGTTTCGGATCCTTCTGCGTGTTACATTACAAAGTAGTCCAAGCACCACACCATTGATTACGCTTTCGATAACAACTAATCCTCCATTGGAACTACGTGGCGTTCAGATTCTCGAAGTGTCTGTTAAAGTAGGAAGAACTACAGATTCGAGTTGGGCACGGAGCCGAGTGTAGTGTCGTGTTTCCTCTTCGCTACGTCATCGGTGCTGCTGTAAGCCTCCTGTGATATTCGTTTCTTCTTGCTCGTCTTCGGAGTTATGTCGTTCACTTTGTTACATAACCAGACACTACATACTATGTGCATCTCAACAATTCTTTCTTTCGATCCGTTTTTTAGCATTCATCTTCCTCAGAGGTATACGTATGGATTCGGGTTTTAGTTGAGGATTTTAGTTTTTTTTTTTGTCAATGTCGTTGAATGCTGGTGCAGTCCATTCTTTCTATGGTTAGTCACGTTATGATATTCCCAGATCTTCATCACAAGCTCTTCCTAGCTTCTAAGGAGAGAACGAGTTGATATCGGGCAACTCTTAACCTATTTCCTAGCACCAGAAGAGCGAGCGTTTAGTTGACGGTTTCCAGTTACTTGGTAATCTTAAATTTTGACAGGTTAAGTGTGAAAACCGAAATAATTGTTTTGATCATAGCTGGGATTATAGGTTGTTCAACCGTACAGGTCTAGTCTTAAGTTAACCAGGTGGTGTTCAACCCAGCTGGCGAGGTAGCATTGCAGGCTTAGAACTGCTGCTTCCTTTGCTTTGTCGTTGGAAATTTGGGCGCAGGTTTTGTTTGCTTGTCACTTACGTGATTCTCTAACCACAGTTTTTTTTCTAGTTTAAGTCCGAATTTGTGATAGTTTTGGACTTAATCTTGTCTTTGGAATTTTTCGGCTTCCTTTGCTTTCTTCCAAAAAATGGATTTTGTGGAGACGATGTAGTGGTCCGATCAGTATATAATTTTAGCATACCTGCGACTGGCAAATGATCACCGTGGTACGCTCAAGTGAAAAAAATTTGCGACTTAAACCATTAAATTACCAACCATTATTTAAATTACCGACCGTTACTTAAATGTTTCTAGAATTGTGAGTTACTGTGGTGTTTTTCATCACCGTTGTGAATTCTCAGACCCTTTTGTATTGTTTATTTCATTCCATTTCGTGAGTAGTCTTGCGTTGGTGTTAGAAGTAATAGCTTCGTGGAACGTATAATCATTTAAGCAGCCTTCGGCTCGTTCATACAGTGTGGCTCGTTCCTGTCCTTAACAGAGTTTAACATTGAGACGTAGACGACGAACATTTTCGAAGTTGGTAATGGTATGCATGTTTGCGATCTTTGACTGCTTGTTTTAGGAATGATCATAGGTTTTCGTGATCAAGCTCGTGTTGGGAAAGGCGCACCACCTACCCCAATGCAGTTGTATCTTCTGAGGGGCGGCTTTTATGAGTATTGTAAACGGCAATTAATATGCAATGTCTTCCGGTCTTGGCCTTTTCAATAGAGTCATGGTCGTAAAGTTTGGTGGTAGCATGCATTCTTCGTAAGTACGTCATGTTTATATATAATAGATACCGACTTTTTTGTACCTAATGGTTATGAGCCTTCGAGTTATGGCACCGTATTGTGATTGTAAAGTTCTTTTCATTTGAAAATATAAGAGAATATAACCTGACTCCATTTATTCCATTTGAATTATATTACGGGTTGCTAGTATAATTTATAAGTATTGCTCTCAAGATGGACTTTCTTCCAACCTCGGCAGTGATCAATAACTTTCTGTTTTCTTGATAAGCAGGCGGTTACTATAATGCTTATTTCACCATAGATGACGTTTCGGCGGATTTCGCTTTCTCAGGAACATGGAAAGATCAGGATTATGTGTGATTTAGTCAGCCAAATATTTCCTTGACCCGTACAATAAGACCGAAAATTGCCAACAGGGATAAGTAGAAATCTCCCAGAAAACGGTGAGTGTCTGAAGAATCTCTTTCCAACGCGACTGGAATTTGATTTCGGATTTTTCTGTTTGGTTTATAGAAGTACTTGGTCCACTGGACCGGACATCAACTTGGCCTCTGTATGTTCTGAAAGAAGCGAAATCGGCCGTGAAGCCTGTCGGCCTTCGTGAAATAAACGTTGCTTTAAGAACTTCATGTCTGCTTATCAAAAACAGTAAGTTAGAAGTAATTTTTAAACAAAATTTCGTTTCAGATAAGTGAGTACCTGAAGGGATTCAATGACGTCATAACTGTCCAGTGTTGATTAAATGTTTAGGTGCGATAACAACTATAGACGTAGTTTTCTGGTGGATTTTAGTCTTTTGATTAAGAAAAAAGTACATATTACTAACATGGTCAGCCTTAACGCTTAGCACATTTTTCATCAACTTCTATCTACGTGATGTTTTTCTGGTCGGGAAGCCCTTTTCCTTGAAATTCCTGTAGTGTTAACAGGCTTTCGTAGGTCATCATCATCATGATCATTGCGGGTGGGGTGGAACCTCAAAGTTCAGCGAGGCGTTGATGATTCCTGAAAAGTTTTATTCCTAACTGAGCTTTCGGTTATGTAACTATTTCTCATACCGAGAAGCTCTGATGAGGTCAAACCCCAATGTTCTTATCGGTTTTCTACAGTCTGAATTCTTCGAGCAATGTTACTAGGGGGCTGGTGAAGATTTAAAATGTTGTTATTTGTTGCGTACGGTTCTTTGCAAAGTTGGACGACTTCGCCTGCTTATTTTTAATTTTGTTACATTGTTCATACCGTTTCTCGATTGGGGAATTAGTCATGGTGCAGAGGTGTTGAAAGGTTGAGTCATTGAGTACATAGATGAAGGCTTAACTGTTTTCTTTTACACTAGTCACTAGCACATATAAAGAGGTGTTGTGGTGGGAGTGTTGTTTACCTGTCTCCTTGCCTTTTTCTTGTTTTCGCTTTAAAATATGGTGTTGATGCTTACATCACGTTCATTCCAAAACAAGACTTTCATCTAGATTAAAGCGTGCAACTGCTGCATGAGACGTATCTTCACCTAGGTTTACCTTTAGATTTTTCGTTCAGCAAGAGTTTTTTACATAGTGGTATTATTATTTTCTTTTATTTTATTTTGTATTCACATCTCCTTGCGAATGCCAGCACTTATCACATTCGATTCGTTTCTTTGCATCCATCATCTACCAAGGTCTTCTAACTTTTACGTGTGGCTTCGGCTGCTGCTTGACGACTTTGTCTTCATCTTAAATGTTGTTGAATGCTGGTCAAATCGATTCTTCCTGGAGTCCTGAGATGGCCGGACTAGACCGTTCCCGCTTGTATTGCAGACAGTGATTTTTTCCGGACAACTCTTATACCAGTTTTTCGACTCCGAAGGAATGAGAATCGGTGACCCCGGAGGAGGATCGAACTAGCACCGTATTCGTAGTGATAGGCATCATTACCATTGTACTATCCTCACCCTAGTAATGATGTTTGGTGAAATGAATTCAGATTCAAAAGAGGACTTATTTAAAATGGAAAAATTTCGAAATTTTGCAAGATCTTCGCTTAGCTTTATCGAATTGACGCAAGAACTCATTGTAGTCTATAAATATTTTTCTCGTCCTTTTTCTCGTCCATTATTGCTAATCTTCGGCCGAACTCTGCTGTCGTTATACCCATTTTCCGATAGGATATTGTTCATCACCTTTCTATTTATTGCAGTGCTAATTCTACAAATTCTCAACATCCGTTTAATAACGCTAAATACAGTGAATAATGACCGCATCAAATTCATCTGAGAATTCATCAGTGGATATTGAAAGTGATCGAGGTGATCATGGTCATTTTAAAAAGGTGAGATGAGCTTGGTGAAAGCACTGGTCATTTTTTCATTTTTAATATAGCGCATAAAAACAGATGGAAGCATTTCTTTTCATTTCGTTCCCATTTTTTATCACATGTTGTGTTTCTGTTGGTACCTGAATTTTCTTACTACACGAAATGTTAGGCTAACAGTTTTTGTTAGATTTGTTTAAGGGAATACGGTATTGGATTGGATAGTTTTCCTCAATATATTTATATTTATATTGTTGTGTTGTATGACTTGTTATACATTTTTCCTAGTGAGTTTGAAAGTCTTTGATAGATACTTTTTTTCTAGTGCTAGAGATAGTGTGATAAAAGTGATGAAATACTGACAGTAATAGAAAGGTAGAAAAAGGACAAAGTTCCCCGCTTTGATCAATCCCTGAGGGATGCGCCATGCATTCGACTTCATTAAGTATCGTTGGAGGTGATTGAATGCATATCTGGCCTTTACAGTGACTCGCGGTGGCCTATCGATGTATGGAGCCGGTGCTACTATCCTCCCAGACAAGTCTGGTACCAATTTGCCGACCCCGGAAAGATGTGGGCGCGGGGATCGATTCCACGTGTGTGTTGCAGGGCGCCTCCGACCACTACGCTGTACGCGTCCTGCGGAAGCAGAATAGGATATACGGGTGCAAAGCAAATATTTAGCGGAAAACTGAACAAAACACAGATCTATGAAGAATTCCTTGCTGCGAAGTATAATCTCCAGTTGCTTGGTGTTTTTCCGATTCGATAAAATTTCTCCATTAAGAATGTCGAGATAGCGTATGAGTGCGTTCACTAGTTAATACAAGCACTCTCCGATCTCTCCAGGTCGGGCTTGTTAACGTTATGATAGCAGTAGTTCTTTTCTTTCTGCTGCTCTAACTACACTGATAAGTCATCATAGTTCAGCAGTTTTTTGTCTTTAGTGGGAAAAACTTCAGTGTAATGAGTTATATCAAATATTTACTATTCAGGGACGTCGAGCAGAGAAGGTGTTGTGGGCTGTGGCAGTGCTGTCAGCAATATTTATTATGGCCGAGTTCGCTGGTGGATATTTCGCTTCGTCATTAGCAATTATGACAGACGCAGGCCACATGCTGTCCGATCTGCTGTCTTTCATCATCTCGATAGTCGCTATCAGAAGTGCCCGACAACCACGTACGTTTTTATTCAAGCTCTAATAGACTGAAAAGTCACGGTTTTATTTAATCTCATAGATTTCAACGCTACAGCTGCCCCATGGGCTCTATGGGCACGTTTAGTACAGTGGAATGAGGTGCTCTGCAATGCGCACGTGGTCAGTCCCTGGTTTGATCGTGCGCCCAGGGCTCGCCAAGCCATCCACCACTCTACAGTCGGCGAATTAGCATAAGATTTGTCTGGAAAGATGAGAAAACTGACATGATGCAACGGTAAGCTACCGAAAGCCATCATGTAGACCAGATATGCACTCATCCAGCTCTACGATGCTTGGTGAAGTCGAATGCATGACGTATCCCTCAAGGATTCATGAACACCCAACGTTTTGTCCTTTGTCCTTTATAGCTGCTCTCAACAAATTGTTGAAAAGGGATCAAAGCTATTTCTTGTCCTTGACGTTGTCTTGAACTTTCGTCTTGTTTTCTATATGGTCTATTTTCATAAGCTTCCTTGTTCATCTTAATGAAACATTTTTGAGCTATTCCTCGTTTTTTCCGTTATGCTCCATCTATTATTTTTGCTAAAGAGGCGATCCAAGAGTTTCCGAGAATGTGGTGAATATGAGATTACTCGGCTGTTTCTGGCATCATTTTCAGCCAGTAAACGACTTTCGTGGGGCTATGAACGAGCAGAAGTGCTAGGTGCAATGGTGTCGGTCATCATTCTCTGGGTGCTCACCACCATACTTGTTCTGCTGGCCATCGAACGAATTATTAACAATAGGCTGTGTAAGTTGTTTCCGGTTTTGGATTCGTTAGAATCAGATAAGTTCCGTCACTTATGTGCTTTTTATGTTTCAGCTGTCGAAGCTAATGTAATGTTAATCACAGCTAGTGTTGGTGTAGGATTCAATGTGATCATGGGCATTGTGCTGCACTTCGGAAGCGGAGGACATGGACACACTCATGGTGGTGTGAATCATAGGTGAGCCAATTAACTAAGCACTTCTAAGAAATGGATGAAAAAAGTACATGCGCAGTCTTTCTGTGTGATTCATACGTATTTTAAAATTTGGAGTTCTTGGTACCATGCTTCTTCCAAAGATGACAAGAGTCTGAAAAGCTGTATGAATTGAAAGTATGTCGGGAAAAATATGGTGGAAGGTAAAATATGATCTAACCTGTGTTATAGCTTATCGTTTGTAATGTAAGGAAAGTCGAGAAATGAAAAGGCGTTGTAGAGACTTGTTAAGAGGCTTGTCGTGCATCCGTCATTGTTTACTAACCATCGCCATTTGCTTAACTTTGCTTCTACGTTATGATTAATCTTGGTGATTACCAATTACTATAGAACCTTAAACGGCGAACTGTAATAAAGTACTATGAAGATGTAAGAGGGTCGGTAAGAGGTCAGACACTGACTTGATACATTGTTAAGCCACATCAACTTGTATATTCCGGATATGCATTCGTTCACTTCTACGATGCTTGACAAAGTCGAATGCATTATCCATCTTTTAACGGTCTGTCAACGCCGAGAACTTTACCACTTCATCCTTGATGTATAAAAGCCGCCATTTCTGTCGTAAACATAAAGGATAAAGCTCCCGGTGTCGATCAATCCCTGAGGGATGCGCCATGCATTCGACTTCATTAACTATCGTCGGAGGTGATTGAATGCATATCTGGCCTTTACAATGACTCGCAATGGCCTACTGATGTATCGAGCTAGTGCTGCTCTCCCTCAAACAAGTCTAGTGCCAATTTGCCGACACCGGAGGGATGGAAGGCTTGGTGAGCCATGGGCGCGAGGATCAATTCCACGTGTGTCGCAGTGGCACCTCCAACCACTGCGCCACACGCGCCCTGTAGTAAACATAAACCTTGTTATTTCCGTTGTCTGACGTATATCATGGAGATATTAGTTAATCGTAGTCAGGATTAATGGCTGCCTTATTTTTTTCTTATATTTCTTCATGTTATATTCCTTGCAGTCGTTCGCATGGGAAAAATGTGAACGTTCGAGCAGCTTTTATTCATGTGATTGGTGATCTTATTCAGTCGATTGGCGTACTAATTGCATCAGTTGTCATTAAAGTATGTTACTTTAAATATTAATCTGCGTACCTTCATCCATAATTGGCTTGTTTTGGATAATTTTTCCTCGTGATTTAGACAACCGGTTGGGAAATGGCTGATCCCATATGCACGTTTATATTTTCAATAATTGTGTTGTTTACAACGATGACTGTACTTCGTGACATTTTCTTCGTACTTATGGAAGGTAAGTGTTGTTTTTGTTAATGAACTAGATGGGTTCTCAGTTGTACTCGGATATCTGTAGACACCTTAATCTTGAGAGAACAAATCTAACATAACTATGCTGAGATATGATAGATATGGGTCTCTGGTGGCGTAGTGTGTAATGCACACCCTTCGGAAAGGCAAATTTTGGTTCAGCTTGGCCCTAAATCCAACTTTTGCGAATATCTCAGCATCGTTATGGTTCATTTCGCACAGTACCCTGCCGTGAAAATTGTAGTGGGCAGTAAATAAAAAACTAAAACATTGTAATCTAAGATACTTATTTCTAGCGACACCGCGTCACCTGGATTTCAATGCCGTACGAAACGACTTAACAGAATTGGAACACGTACAAAGTGTTCACGACCTGCATTTGTGGTCTCTAAATATGGACAAGACAGCGCTATCTGTTCATTTAGCGCTTGGTTAGCACTTTATATTTTTTTATTATTTCATATAAGAGGCTGTATTTATGGCAACCTTTGTGTTAGACTCAGCTGCGGATCGTCATCCATTTTTTAAACTGCTTAAGGACAAATGACGAATTTTTTGAAGCCTCTATAGGAAAGACAATAACTGTTGCATTAATTTGGATTCGTTACTGATGGTAAAGTGTGGATGAGTCGGAACATTTTACTATTAGATACGGTACGATGCACGTTTGTTGTCGTCGTCGACTTTTCCTACCAATTTACTATCCAATAAAATAGACGAACATTAACGAAAGCACTAATGAAATCAACTAAAATTTCACGTGGATCGGGTAACGATGTAGTAAAAATGTTTTCCGATGCTCTCGATTAATAATATCTTTATTTCTTGAAAACATTACATAGTGTTTTTTTTTAAGATTTATCCAGAAACAAAATGATGCATCGAGGAGGACCAGCCATAGTCCAAGTGGTCTTATCGGTTCAGAGAAAACCGAACTGCGACTATCATAGCAAATCTGTTGTTCCAATTAAGTACGATTTTGTTGCCAGTACTCCATAACTGGAATTTTACATAGGAAGAACTATAAACATGTTTTGATCAGTTAAACGATAAAGTAAATCAAACTAAAAGTTATCACGAAGTCCTCGTACGCCCACACTGCAGAATCAATGATCATGGTTGGATAGGTCTTCATTTATTGCGGAATCATCTTGGATTTGGTCCGATCATCTTTTAAGAAGATTGTTGCGAATCCGTTTGCGCTACGACGTATACTTTAAAGGACATCATCAAAACTTGTGTGAAAGTTCGATGTCTCTATAGAATATGCTTTTTTTAGTATTTCAAGTTCATTATGCTGCAAGGGATATGTGTAGTAATTTTTCGTGAGAATGATGTGTTGTACTCAAATGTTGCTTCTGAAAGTCATCCTTTTCATTGTAGACTCATCGGAACACGCGTGGTCTACGGTTGAGGCGGCACGCATGTTGATTCGACAGAAATACGGTATCTCAAAGGCTACGGTACAAGTGGAGTCATACGATAAAAGTATGAACTCATGCGAACAATGTATGAACTAGCTGTCAAATCCTATTTGTTCTGCATATCTCTTTTCAACAACAACAAGAGTGATGGCAATATTGGATTCAATGCGTTTACATTTGACTGTTGTCCCAAAATTGGGCCGCTTGCAGGCTTTATTCTTAGCATTAATAGGTACATAACTTGTGAGTACTGTTGCAAAATAGTCTAATTGTTTCAAAGCTAATTTGGTACTGCGCGAAAAGATGCTCCACAAATGTCACGCACTTGGTGTCCAGTTTGACCCCTAGTCCATACCAGCCTTCCCTGAGTCGGGTGGAAGCTAACTAATTCGTGTGGAGGTTATGCACGAATTCGGTAGGGTGTAAGGGTATAGGTGTATAGATGTAAGGGAGATCAAAATCTAGTGCCTCGATGATTTTATAAGTGGGGAATGAGAATGGTGATCCTTCTGTATAAGAACATAACCGCTTTATTTCACTACTACTTTCACTACTTTATTTCACTATTTCACTAGTTGTGCGTTTTGAGAAAGAACCAACTTAACGAGGCCACCGTCTATGTGATCTCATACGGGAAGTAAATGCTTTGAAGCATGAAGCTGTACTCACATCACAGCAGATCATCTTTGTTGACATGATTGAGTGGATTTATTTGAATTTATGTTGGTGGTAAGTCTTTGTACTTCATTAATACTATGAACTACCATACTCCATTGTAGTCTTCTCAAGGCCAAAATGTCGTGTCTATTGCTCCTTATGATTCTTTTCAATGTTTGTTATCATTTCTACCTTCTTATTTGGCAAGATTTTCCTAACCTTTTTTTCACTGTGTGTTGATTTATTTTCCTCGACGAGGTCATAAGGATTTATTAGAAACGATTTACGGGAAGTCCATGGTTGTGACAAGTTTTTGTTCCACCGTGGCAAGTGATGTTCCAGTAAAGAAGTGTCTAAGCTCTTTTTTTTGATAATTGCTAATATATTATGTCTGTGATATTATTGCCTACTATTTTGCGTTTTATAAAAACGCATTTTCTACGGATCTATTGTTAAGTTTGCAGGTGTTATTTGTCCTATTCGTGTATTATTTCACTTGTTCAACTTTTTTTTATTCTCGGGAAAAGCATAAATTGTTAAGTTTTCAACTTCTAAGTCTTGAAATTAAGTGAAGAAAATCAGTTCATGGAGCATTCCACATCAGAAATAACGAGTTCTTGTCTTTATCCAAAAGAAATTGGACGTGGTAAATCAGTGGTTAGTGATGCTGTGTAATACACATATGACCGTTGGTTCGATCACGCAGTCAGCGCTAACCAAGTTCTCCATCGGCCAGGAGCCGGTGATACGGTACTAGATTTCCATACGAGGATAAAAATGCTGAACACATCGATGAGCTCCTTCAAGTCGTTCTAGCTGCCAAATCTTTGTCCAGTCGATAGTTTTCTTCGATCGTTTATTTAAAGTGTTGTTGAGCTCACACGTTGTTACTAGGTATTGTTATTAGGTATTTTTGAAATTTGGCGGCTGGTATTTCGGCGACTTCGCCTTCATACTCAGGACGTATTTTATATAACTCTACTCGTCTATGTTAACTAGATGAGAGGAAGGCAGAACGAGGACCTCTGTGGTTCAGTGTGTAATACGCGAGCTCCGTGAAAGGCTAATTATGGTTCGATCTGGCCCCGGATCCAAATTTTGCGAATATCTCAGCATCGCTGTGGTTGTATCTACTCGTCTATTTTCTGAGATGATTAGGCTAACACAAGATTGTTAAGAAAGTTTTTATTCGGTTAACGCCTTGACCATTCTTCGGAACCGTCTGACACGAATAGATGGTCCACAGCCGCTCGTTGTTGCGGTATGGGCCTCTTTAGTTGCATCGAATCCAATCTTCTTAAGCTATTCATACAATTCGACAAATTCTGTGCAGTATTAATGAGGACCTAAACTAAAAATAAATACTAATCTGTCAAACACTACTCATCGTTTCCGTTCTCTAGGTTACTAGAACACCCATATGTTGCATACGGGGGATAACGAGTGAAATCTACCCAGATCAAGAAATCAAAGTGAGAAAAGCCATGAAGTTACGGCAAATAGTGCGGCATTTGTCTTCTCGATTCAGTTTGGATTTTTGAAACTTATCAAAACTCTTCAAGAGATTTCCACACTGATGTTTTTGATTTGAGCACCAATGCTAGGATCAACAACCATCCTGGTATCAAGCTAGTTGCATGGTGGCAAATCTCCCTCTGATCCACATTGTCTACCACTACATGTGGTGGTGACGCCTTGGGGCAGACTTTGGCCAGGCTGTCTTTAGGATTCCGGGAACCACAATGACTTAACCAGCAAATCTCCCTAGAATGGAAACTGTGCTGGGGCACGAACGACCAGTGAAGATGGGTCATCCAAGTATCCAAAATGTTTTTGATTACTTCGCTGAAATCGTGACAGCCACCTCAAAATCATCACCGTTATAATTGTAACGATTTAACTTTTGTTTACTCTCTCTTCTTTCTTTTTCATGGCAGGGTATGATGTAACCGCAAGGGTGCTGAGATACGCACGAAACGCGGAACCACAATTGAGTTTCAGGCCCGTTATCACTTTAACGGGAGGCTCAAGTGCTATCCACCACCACAGCCGACGCCTTTGCCTTGTCTTTCTCCCAGCCATGTTTTTCCTCTGTCGTTGCTATCATCGCCGTTGTATTTTATGCGCTATGTTTACCAGTTCAGACGTTCTTTCTATGCGGAGACAAAGTAGTCTGCCCTTTCCTCAATGGATTCTTCACCGCTTGCCTTACATGAGGTCGGCTATATTATACCTGAACTCGTACAATCTCCGTCTATGCCACCGGGGTAGATCACGCAATTTCTCCTGTTGCATAGACCGTCAAAAGAGATGTCCGCAAACTTAAATAACAACGCATAGTGTTAGGCATGTATTAATATTTACTACAGGATACTCTAGACCACTTTTTTGGCACTTCTTAACAGTGTCACCCATTTCGTAAAGTATGAAACATATTTCGAAAGAAATCTTATTTAGGTTGGAAACACTGTTCTAGGCGTAATTTTACCCATAGTTCCAACTTGGTCGGCCACTAATTCATAGCCAATGGAGACGGTCTTACGAATTTTAGCGATTCCTTCCCTTCCTGTGTGCACACATTTTTAGCCGTTCGGTACATGTTTTTGGTCAACGTCGAGCGCTTTATCTTTTATTTTTTTTATTTAAAAGAATAGGTGACTCGGATTCTTTCTTAAACAATGTGAGAATAAAAGTTAATCATATAATTATTTGGGAAGATGCCGTTGTCGACAACATCGACGAAGAATATGATCGGCTCATTCAACATCTTCACATTAGCGCTATGACAGCTGACAGTTCGAAACTCACCAAGATACGTCTGTCTTCAGAAACACTCAAGCTAATACGCCACCATGGAATGCACGAGCTGCAGGAAACCGCGAATTAACGTCCGAACATGCAAAACAATGCAGAGAGGCGATGAAAAAAGATCTTAAAGAGAGCAGAGCAGCAGTAATGGTCGAAGCTGCAGAGGCAGGAAAAAGCATTCGCAAAGCCCACCAATGCTTCGCCAATTACAAGACTAAGATGATTGCACTTCGACGCCCAAACGGAGCAGTTATAGCGTCCAGAAGGGCAATGGAGAAAATCATTCACGAATACTACTCAAATCTCTTCGATAGCTCCGTCCACCTTCCGTCATATGAAAAGAAGGAGGATGGACATGTTGTACTACCGGTTCTCCCTTCCGAAATCTGACATGCCATTTCGATGGGAAAAAATTCGAACTGCACCAGGTCCAGACAGGATAAAACCAGAACACCTGAAGAACCTTCCGCCAGTCCTCGTAAACGCAATGGCTCGACTCTTCACACGTTGCCTGTCTGAATGCAATGTCCCTGTTCAGTGGAAGACCAGCAAGACCGTGTTATTGTTTAAGAAGGGTGACCTGCACGATATCGGCAACTATCCCCCAATCTACTTGCTGCCTATCGCCTACACACTTTTCACTCGAGTCATCCTAAACAGGTTTGACAGAATATTGGACGAAGGGCAACTATGAGAGCAAGCAGGCTTTCGAAAAGGATTTAGTCCGCTGGACCATATCCATACGATAACAAGACTCATAATTAAAGTTTCGCGAGAATACAAAAGACCACTCTATCTCACTTTCATCGGTTTAAAGGTCTTTGACTCAACTGTAATAAAAGCAGTCATGGAAGCCTTTGATAGTCAGGGAGTCCCGACTCAGTACATAAAGATTTTTCGTGAGCTGTACAAACATTTCACAGCCAATATATCATTATTCTACAACGATATTAACATCGACGTCAAGAGAGGAGTTAGACGAGGCGATACCATCCACCCAAAATTCTTCAGCGCCACCCTCCAGAACGCCATGCGAACATTGAAATGGGGTAATATGGGAGTGAAAATCGATGGTCGGCAATTACACCAACTTCGCTTTGCTGATAACATCGTCTTTATAACACTAAACATTAGCGAAGAGTAACGATAGCTTGCCGACTTTGATAAAGCCTGTGGAAAGATTGGAGTTTGACTAAATCTTACAAAAGCGATGTTCATGAGGAGCGGATTAGATTCGTATGCCCCATTCACCCTCAACAGAACGACCATCTCCGAATGCTCCAGTTATGTCTATCTAAGTTGGGAAATATGGTGGACTTAGCTCCAGAGTTGAGCAGTAAGGAACGAGCGGCTTGGGGAGCTTTCAAGAGCATCGACGATGTGCTGTAAAAGAACAAAGAACACCCGACTCCGTGTCAACCTTTTCGACTTAACAGTACTTCCTGCCCTAACGTATGCGTCAGAAACCTGGTCGCTGCGTAAGCAGGATGAAAGATCACTCAGCGTTATCGAACGCGCAGTCGAAAGGACGATGCTAGGAGTAGCCCGTTTCGCACAAGTAGGGGATAGGGTCCGAAGCTCAAACCTGCGTCAAGGATCAAAAATCAAGGACATTGCTCTGTACGCCAAAC